TCTTGCGATGCACAAGATCACCCCCATAGTCACTGTCAGTGTATCCCAACAGCCCCACGTTTGAATAGTTTCCTCCAACAAATTTGCAGCCATAGTTAACAGTTCCTGAAATGTATCTGATAATACGTTTAACTGCTGCCCAGTGTTCATTGTTTGGTGCCTCCATAAATAGACTTGCAAGACCCACAGCATAGGCTATGTTAGGTCTGGTATTCACTAGATACCTCAAGCTTCCAATCACACTTCTGTACCTTGTAGCATCCACTGCCGTTTCTTTATCTCCTTCTACAAGCTTGACACGCTGCTCCATGGGAGTATCTACTGGATTGCACCCCTTCATCCCACACTGCTCCACTATCTTGGATGTGTAAGCACTCTGGAAAATAGTAATAACTCTAGGCTCTTGCTTGGCTTCCATCCCCATGTAGTAGCTTAACAGCCCAAGATCACTCATATTAAATAACTTCATCATTTGTTGTTTAAACTCCACAATCTTGCCGCTGTCTGGTCCACAGATGATCAGGTCATCTACATATACCTCCACCAACAGAAAAGTATTATTTGCACTCTTTCTGTATACAGCATGTTCAACTTCACTTCTCTTGAATTCCAACTTTTTCAGTTCAGAATCAAGTCTCATGTTCTAGGCTCTTGGAGCCTGCTTAAGGCCATACAGTGCCTTTTTTAGTTTCAGTACCCTGTCAGCCTTCTTTGGATCACTGAAACCAGGTGGTTGTTGGACATAGACCTCCTCTAGCAAATCCCCATTGAGAAATATTGATTTTACATCCATGTGATGTACTTCCCACTAGCCCTGAGCTGCAAGTGCCAACATCAACCTCACTGTTTCCAGCCTAGCAACATGTGCAAAAACCTCATCAAAGTCCACCCCCTGTGTCTGAGCATAGCCTTTTGCCACAAGTCTAGCTTTATGCTTTATAATCTTGTCTGATGGATCCCTTTTCACTTTAAACACCACTTGAGCCCTATTGGTTTCTGCCCTGCAGGCAAATCAGTCATCACCCAAGTTTTGTTCTCTTGTATGGATTCCATTTCTGCTGTCATAGCATCTCTCCAGCACTTCTCTGACAATGCTTCCTCAACACTAGATGGCTCATCAGCAGCTAGCATACACAGTCTGAAACCTGACAGTGAATGTTTCAGGTTCAGTTGTTTTCCTAAACGCTAAACGGTAAACAGTCGGTCACCTACCGTTTAGCCATTATTCGGGCAAAACGTCCCATTAAACAGGCTAAACGGCCAATTAAACGGGATAAACGGGTGATTAAACGGAAACGGCGCACCACTGTGTAGCGTTTACACAGTGTGTAAACGGGCTAAACGACCGTTTAGGCGAACAGTGGGTTCAGCACTGCTATTCTCTTGCCAACTCCAGCTCCAAGCCTGATTTTCTTCAAAAACAACGCCGCGGCTTATGTGAAGCCGGTTTGTCACTGGATCTAGGACTCGGTACCCCTTGGTTCCTGTCTCATAACCCAAGAACACCATCTTGGTTGATCTATCAGACAGCTTAGTGATACCCGGTCCCACATTCTTCACATGAACCACACACCCAAAAGTCCTCAAGTGATCTACCCTCGGTTTCCAGCCATACCAGGCTTCATATGGGGTTTTATTCTTGAGGCTTTTGGTAGGAGCACGGTTCAGAACATATACAGCTATCACCACAGCTTCTCCCCAAAATCTAGAGGGCATCTGTTTACTCTTAAGCATGCATCTTGCCATCTCAACAACAGTTTGGTTGTGATGCTCCACTACACCGTTCTGTTGGGGTGTATATGGTGTAGTGGTGTAATGCTTAATACCTGTCTCATTGCAAAAGATTGTAAACATAGAGTTGAACTCTCCTCCTCTATCAGTTCTCAGTGCCTTTAGGTTCCTCCCTTTCTCCAATTATGTTTGCTGCTTGATCTTCTTCAGATATGTCAGAGCTTCATCTTTGGACTTCAATAGCTCCACCCACATATATCTGCTATGATCATCAACCACTAGAAGAAACTAGGACTTACCACCTAGTGTCGGTGGGTTGATTTGGCCACACAAATCGGCATGGACTAGTTCCAGTCCTTCATATGCTCTGTAGGATGATGATTGTGGGAAAGGCTTGCGGTGCTGCTTGCCCAAAGTACACCCATCACACACCTGCTCAACCCGATCCACCAATGGCATACCTTCTACCATTTTCTATCGGCTCAGTTCACGCAAAGCTCAAAAATTCAGATGGCCATATCGAGCATGCCACTGCCAAGCTACACTATCCATATTCATGTGCAAACAGACAGGAGCAACTACACCAAGTTTGAGTGTGTACAACCTGTTGCCAGTGCGAGGAGCACTGATCACCAGTGTACCTTCTCGATCAAACACTGTCAACTGCCCATTCTTTAGTCTCACCTCACATCCCCCTTCTTCAAGCTGTCCTAGACTGATTATATTGCTCTTCAGCTTAGGAATGTAAAACACATCGGTGAGTACCTTGTGCTCTTGGTGACGACCTTCCATGACGATGGAGCCAAGACCCGAAATTTCAACATAGGATACATCCCCAAAACGGACGGTGCCAGTGACGTCCTCGTCGAGCCGCGAGAGCGTAGAACGCGTGCCCGTCATATGATACAGGACCCAGACGTCGGTTGGACATTCAACTAGGACGACCTCCTTCTCCGCCAAGTGCACGATCTTGTTCGGCGCAGGGTGATGCAGCTCGCCGACGCCAAGAACAGCGCTGGCTGGCCTGTGTCCGCCACTGCAACATTCGCCGCCTCCTTCTCTGCTTTCTTCTCCTTCTTCGGGTGTTTACAGTCTTGTGCCCAGTGGCCATAGATGCCACAATTTTGGCACTGACCTTTTCGCCGTGGAGTGCCTTCCGAGGTGAGCTTGACGCCGCCTGATCCATTGGACCCGCCTGCATCGGAATGTGGCGCCTTGTTCTTGTTCTGGCCGCCACCACCACCAGTGCCGCTGCCTTCTTTGGACGAACTGGATTGGAATCGGTGCTTGTGCTTTGCAAGCCAGTCCTCCTCAGCCAATAGAAGACGCCCAGCCTTATCAGTGATCTGCTCCACCTTCTCCTCAAGTCGATCCTCGGCCGCACGCAGTCGTCCCACCAGTTCCTCAATGGTCAAGGTTTTTAGATCATAGAACATTTCAATTGAAACAACAACCTGATTGAACCGTGCTGGGACGGCACACAGAAACTTCTCCACGTCGTGGCTGTCTTCCACTGTCTCCCCGAGAGACTTGAGATTGGCCACGAGATTTGTGATCCTCATGCCAAAGTCATCAATCGTCTCGCCCTCCTTGAACCCAATGTTCTCGAACTCCTTCAACAGCTTTTGGGCGTTGATGTCCTTGATGCGATCGGCGCCGAGTCGCATTGTCTTCACAACCTCCCATGCCTCCTTGACCGTCTTCTTGCTCCCCAACGTCTGCCACATCTCCTTCGGGACGGATCGCAGCAGCGTGCCCATCGCCTGCCTATCTTGCGCGCGCTTCACGTTAGTCTTGGGCTCGATCGTCTCCCAAATCTCCATGGCTTCGTAGTTGCACTGCATCAACATCGCCCACTCGGAGTAATTGGTACAGGTGAGCATCGGCCACATGAGCGTGCCCTCCCGGACACCGCTGGACATGGTGCTTGGTGACGCGCCGTCGCCCATCTTCTTTGGGATGTCGCGCCGCAGTCGCTTTGGCCAAGGTGGATGATTCCACCCGGTGTCTTCCACCTCGATCTTCTCCCTGGACGCCTCCTCAACCGGCTCTGATACCAGCTGTTAGGACCGACAGTGGCCACCGAGCCCAGATCGCCACCGTCGAGCTCGAGAACACTGAGATGGAAACACAACGCACGCGAGAGTTGGAGACAATTGTTTTTACCGCACGACTGCGCAGCTTTTGTTGTCATTTTTCATTCAATATATGCGAATGCATTACACGGGCTTGGAGCCCTCCGTCCCCACCACGACGCTGGCACTGCACGGTGCGTCCTCATTTTTCGGATCGCCTGTGCGACATGCACGGCGCACGACGTCCTGGCGAGAACTCGTCAAACCACGTGCGGTCACAGCATGTCCTATGCACATCTCTAGTTCACCTGCGATATCTACGCACTATAACCAAACGTGCAACTACCTAAGATGCAGATACATCGACAGGATTACATTGTGACCGTTCGAACATAGGGCACTATGCCCACCATGTTTATTAAACTTACATCATGTGAAAAACCATGCTACAATATGATGAGGTTTCATGCGAAAAGACCGTGCCAAATGCCCTAAAAACCATGCCAAAAGTAACAAGTCCCTTTAAACCATGGTTCTGGGGGGCCGTCATGCAAGTAGAACCAAATAAAGGCCATCCTTTGTCTAGAATCTTCCTAAGAGTTGTGTCGACCTGATGCTAATATAACCGTTTTTTCATTTCTTTTTGAAACTAATTTGCAGATGCAAGGCTGCCCACAAGCAACTCTCGTGAGAGCCATTTCTTCTTTTGCCATATTGAAAACCTGCATCGACGAGTTTAGTTTGCCTTAGAAGATTCTTCTGTTTCTCTTCTTTCCCGATGTTCCAAGCTGTATACGGTATATATGAGCAGCGCTACAATTGTTTACTTTTGTCTTGTGTTATGGCCTTGCAAAGGAGACGACCACCAGTCTTCTATTGTTGCACCGGGGCTGAGGCAGTCGAATCTCCTGAGATGCATCCAAACCTCCATCGAGAAAGGGTACTGAATGCAAAGGTGCATCCGTATTTTCATTCTTGAGTCTCAAATACTATGCAAATGCTGTAGCCACGGTAGGCTGCCGGCCGGCCGTGGAGGCTGAGAGGTGACCGAAACTTATCCAACAACGGGCCAGAAGCATGCGGCCACCGGGCGAGGCGTCCGGCCAGCCGCAGCCAGCTGTGGCGGCCAGGCAGCAAACAGCATCCAGCTGAAGTTGGCCACGGTAGTTCCTAAGCCCCCGATGGGCAATATTGTCAACTTTGCACCCTACCTTTAGCTGCATCATAGCCTAGATCAGTGTTCTCCTGTCCCAAAAGCTTGCCAACAATAACAGCCCCTTCTACCCCAGCATTTGAAGCAATAGTATGCACCGGGGTCTGCAAAATCCTCCAATCATCAGATGACATGAACATGAGAGGAAAACCTCAAAAGAAAAACAGAAACAATTTCTTCAAACCTTCAAAGCATTTTGAATGATTTGGACACCAATCTTTTGGTCAAAGTTTGCAGTCTCCAATGTATCCAGGTCTTTTGAAGCATAGAGAAGAGCAGCACCCCCACCTATGTGTATCATAAACAAATAAGATTTTCAGCCATGGTGATATACTGACACATGCTTAAACCAGAGAGAACTCAACAGCAGAGCATCAGCATGGTACCTGGCACAATACCCTCTTCCACTGCAGCTTTGGTTGCATTTAGTGCATCCGTCACTCTATTCTTCTTCTCACTGACTTCCACTTCACTTGCTCCACCAATCTAAAAGGAAAGATTGTAATAAAGAATGTTCACAGCAGCAAACCAGGGAAGTAACCAAAATCAATATATAATGCTAAAATGCCATCAACACTACAATACCAAACTACCGGATATTACATACATCCCTGGCAATTTAGACAATATACTCCCTACGAACCCAAGGTTATAAATTGATCATTCTAATATTGACATCAACATTATGGATGTACATAATTTAACATCAATAATAGTTTTCACCTTTAGAACAGCAACACCACCAGAAAGCTTTGCTCAATCGCAGATCTCAGCTGTAAAAAAAAAAAGCATGTTATGGCTAAAAGTCACATGATGCCCAAATTGCCTCATGGAAACTAAGCAGATAAAACGAACATGCTCAGCTCTCTCTTCAATTGCCTTCTTATCCCCAGCTCCATCAAGGATGACAGTGTCATCCTTAGAAATTGTAACCTGCATTTCAAAAAGTTCACTTAATAAAGAAAAAGAAATAGTTCTAAGACATGAACAGAACCACACAAGTCTTCTGGAGGTATCAAAAGCTCATGGCTATAGTTCAATCGTGTAATCAACCTAACTAGATCACAAACAGGTATTTATTTTATACTGTCAACAGTTCAGCCTATAGGAGCTGAGAAAAAGTGTACAGCCATCAAATGACAGCCTTTACCTTCTTGCAAGTGCCAAACATCTGAGGCTCAAAGTTCTCAAGGTTCATCCCAAGTTCTTCAGTTATAACCTGGTTCAATGTGCAAAAAAGAAAAAGAAAAAAAGAAAGTGAACAAAGATTTGAATATATGATAACTATGGCATGGGCAAAGAAATAGAGTTGCGACAGCGACATACTTCCCCCCCAGTAAGGATAGCAAGGTCCTGTAAGTTAGTTTTCCTGCTCCCCCCAAAACCAGGAGCTTTGACCGCACAGACCTGTGGTTCATGTAATTAAATAATAAAGCTGAAAAAAGTACTAGCAAGAAAGCATAAAAAGAGCTAAAGCCAACCTTAACACCTCCACGAAGCTTGTTAAGAATCAGGGTACCCAACGCTTCACCTTCTACATCTTCTGCGACAATAAGCAGAGGTTTTTGCTTCTGATGAAGCAGAAAATAGACCATTGTGTGTTAGATTGCAATAGACGTCACAACAAACCAACATCAGTCATAAGCGTGCAAGAATTAACAATCAAACAAATACCTTCATAGCTAACTCCATCACTTTGGCCAAGGAGTGCGCATTTGATACTCTTTTGTCGTGTATCAATATCAAGGGATCATTTAGTTCCTACAACCGATAGGATTAGTCAATCAAATCAAAAATAAATAAAAGACAACAATTAGAGCAACAAGAACGCAAAGGAAATACTTACACATTTCTGGTTCTTCTGGTCGGTAATAAAGTACGGAGAGATGTAACTTTTGTCTAACTTCATGCCTTCCACAACTTCAAGCTCGTTGTAGAGAGTGTTGCCATCCTATCAAGTAATTCATGGATCATAAACAAATATAGGACACTGAAACAAATTCCCAGATGAGAAAAAATGACATAGAATGCTTCTCCCAGCATAGCTAGTTTCAAAAACAAATTTCTTAATGATAACAATCCCTTGAAGTGTACAGAAAATGCAAAATATGTCCAAATTAAACACATTAATAACAACCTAAGTTAGGTATGGGACCACAAGCAAAGTGTGTAAAATCAAATTTGGAATCCAAAAAAATGTAGCAGAACTGACAGTAAGGGGAACACATCCAAAACTATGTTGGTCTTAAGCTTCGCCCAACACTTTTTAAGTGTGATTATTAAAAAAATAAACAGAGGTTATAGCTTGGTATAATGCATTAGACATGGTAAGTTCTTTAGAGTACTTACCGCAATAGTGATGGCTCCCTCTTTACCAACCTTCTCCATAGCCTTTGCAATTAGCTCACCAATTTCCCTTTCCCCATTAGCCGATATAGTACCCACCTTTGAGTAATAATAACAAATAAATTAGCACAAATGTCTTAGGGATAGCAGAACAAACATATAAAAAAGCTCTCTAGTTCCTTGACTTGTTGCAATCCAAAAATTACATGTGCTATTTCCTCTGATGTATTGATCATTTTTGCCATGTTTTTTAGGTTCGTGACAACAAAATCAACAGCCATTGAGATACCACGTCTCAGATCCATGGCATTCATTCCAGCGGCTACAGACTTGCAACCCTCAATGAATATAGCCTAATAGATAAGTCTGGCTGGTATGGTCTTTGTGGGGCTGCTGGCTGTTGCTGCCACAAGGACAGCATCTTAGCATCTTAAACTAGCATCTTGGCATATGCTTGGCTGGCTAGCAACCTATAAATATGTATCCCTAACCCCTCAGGTTGGCATGGCATTGTGTGAGAAATAAAACAGAAAATTGCCCCAACTCCTAGTGTCATCCTCTCTCGATGAGAGTAAGAATTCTGCTACTACCAAGAGTAAGAATTCAGCGACTAACAACTAGTATCAGAGCCGTACTATCCTGTAGCCTGAGCATCTCCTGCTCATCTCCTTTCCTAGCACCAAGAATAGCCCCACCGGAGCAAGAAGCAGCCCCGACTCGCCCCGCTCTCACCTCCTCTCCCGTCTGAAGCAGCCTCTCCCCCCGCAGCAGACCCCAGAGAGCGTCATGTTCGCAGGCGAGTCTCGGCTTTCGTCGCCTCGAGCACGCGGCGTTAGCGAGAGGCCGAACTTGCAGCAGCAGAGGAACGCGAGCGAAGGCGGCGACAGAGACAGCCGCGGGCGGCGGCAAAGCGTGCCGAGGTCGGCAAATGGGCGGAGCTAGCAAAGCAGCCAGAGAGCGGAGGCGGAAGTAGCGGCGCGGCGGCGGCGAATAATGTGTCTGGCGGCAAGCGAGGGTCGAGGTTTCTGCAGCGGCAACATCAAGAGCTTCTGTTTACTGGCGACAACATACCGACGCGGACCTCGAGTCATTGCTTTGGGGAGGCAAAGCGAAGCGCGGACAAATAAGAAGGCGACACAAGACGCTTGACGCGCGCCGGGCGGCAGCCAGACAGGCGCCGCCAGCCGCGCTCTCGGAGGAGGCGCGACGACAACGGTGGCGGGCGACGGTCGATGGAAAGCGCGGCTTCACAGCGGCGTGGCTCTCTCCCCAGATCGGTGCCGTGGTTACCACGGGCTCCAGTCGTCGTCGGGGGCGTCGGCCCGGCGGTGGTGGCCTACCCTCACAAAGACCAACTACGCCGAGTGGGCTGCGGTGATGAGGGTAAAGCTCCAGTGCGGCACATGTGGGAGGAGGCGGTCCGTGCGGCGGCGGCGTCGACTACGACCTAGATAGACGGTATTTGGATGCCCTCATCGCTGCAGTCCCACCCGAGATGCAGTTCTCGCTTACCAACAAACGGACTGCCAAGGAGGCTTGGGACGCCATCACTGCGGCACGTATCGGCCGCGACCGCGCCCGCAAGTCCACACTGCAGGCACTTCGCAAGGAGTGGGAGAACCTGACCTTCAAGCCAGGTGAGGACGTTGATGACTTTGCTCTCCGTCTCAACACTCAGTTGCAGAAGACGGTGCAGTTCGGCGATGACACCTACGGCGGAGGAGCTGACTCTGTTCATGGCACATGCAAGCATCGAGCTACCTCCAGCGGCACTGGCCGCAGCGGCTCTCCTCCACCTTGACGAGCCAAAAGCACACGCCCTCCTCGGCGACGGCTCCGGCAACAACAAGGCTGACGGGTGGTGCCTCGACACCGGTGCCACCCATCACATGACCGGTCGACGGGAGTTCTTCACCGAGCTTGACTCTAGCGTCCGAGGCTCCGTCAAGTTTGGGGATGCCTCCGGCGTGGAGATCAAGGGCGTCGGCTCCGTCATCTTCACCGCCGTGTCTGGTGAGCACAGGCTGCTCACTGGAGTCTACTACGTACCCGCGTTGAGGAACTCCATCATCAGCTTGGGACAGCTGGATGAGAATGGTTCGCGCGTGGTGATTGAGGATGGAGTCATGAGGATTTGGGATCGCCGTTGTCGCCTTCTTGCCAAGGTATCCAGAAGCGCAAATCGACTCTACGTCCTTAACGTGCAGGTGGCACAACCCCTCTATCTCGCTGCTCGTCGGGACGACGAAGCGTGGCAGTGGCACGAGCGCTTCGGGCACCTTCACTTCGAGGCCCTGAAGCAGCTCAGTGCCGCGGAGATGGTGCGAGGCCTGCCGTGCCTCGACCATGTGGAGCAGCTCTGCGACATCTGCGTGTTGACGAAGTAGAGGCGACTCCCCTTTCCCCAGCGGGCGAGCTTTCAAGCCAAGGAAAGGCTCGAGCTTGTGCACGGGGACTTGTGTGGCCCGGTGACACCAGCCACACCGGGAGGACGACGCTACTTCCTGCTGCTCGTCGACGACTTCTCCCGCTACATGTGAGTGATGGTCCTCGGCAACAAGGGAGAGGCTGCGGACGCCATCAGGCGCGCGTAGGCTGCTGTGGAGGCGGAGTGCGGCCGCAAGCTGCGCGTGCTGCGCACCGACAACGACGGCGAATTCACGGCGGCTGAATTCGCGTCATACTGCGCTGATTAGGGCATTCAGCGCCACTACTCCGCGCCGTACAACCCGCAGCAGAACGGCGTCGTCGAGTGGCGCAACCAGACGGTTGTGGGGATGGCTCGGGCCCTTCTCAAGCAGAGGGGGATGCCGGCTGTCTTCTGGGGAGAGGCGGTGGTGTCAGCCGTCTACATCCTCAACCGCTCACCTACCAAGGCGCTCGACGACAGGACGCCGTACGAGGCTTGGCATGGGCGCAAGCCGACGGTCTCCCACTTGCGGGTCTTCGGCTGCCTCACGTTCGCCAAGGAGCTTGGCCATATCAGCAAGCTCGACGACAGGAGCACTCCGGGAGTGTTCATCGGCTACGCGGAGGGCTCAAAGGCCTACCGCATCCTCGACCCGAAGACACAGCTGTAGGTGCGCCGCGCAGCGACGCGGGTTCGGACGGCGAAGGCGAGATGAGCGTGGAATAAGGCGGTGGAAGACGGCTCGGCTCCGACGTATGACGACTTCACTGTCGAGTACGTCCACTTCGAGGGAGCTGGGGGAGTAGGCAGCTCTTCTTCGACGAGCGCGTCTACCCAGATCCCCGAGCCTCCACCGACCCCGGCGCTGCTACTCTCGACAAGACACCACACTCTCCAAATACCAGACCTCGGTACTGCGATGAGTTCTTCGCACGGCTCCACCACGGTACCACACCAAAGACCGATAGGCACCTCTCCATGCACGCTTCTACTCCAACACCACCGCTCGAGCATGACCGCGGCCGAGCTGAGCTTCGCTACTGCTCTCTCACGACGAGGCGCGCGATCGACGCAGCACTACCACGACGGCGAGCCGTTGCGGTACCGTACGATAGAAAACCTTCTCGGCGACCAGCCGGTGCCGGGACTGGTGCCTCACGACCTGGAGGCGCGGTTGCACCTTGCGTGTGATGACGGCGAGCATCGGTCGTTTGCTGAGGCCGAGAGACACGCGGCATGGCGCGCCGCGATGCAGTTGGAGATGGATGCGGTTGAGAAGAACTGCACCTGGGAGCTTGCTGACCTTCCTCGTGGTCACCGCGTGATCACCCTTAAGCGGGTGTACAAGCTGAAGAGGGATGAAGCCGGCGCCATCATCAAGCACAAGGCTCGCTTGGTGGCACGAGGTTTCGTGCAGCAGGAGGAGGTCGACATCGACGACGACTTTGCTCCCGTGGCACGGATGGAGTCCGTAGACTCCTCCTTGCGCTAGCTGCCCAGGAGGGCTGGCGTGTTCATCACATGGATGTCAAGTCGGCGTTCCTTAACGGCGACTTGAAGGAGGAGGTCTACGTGCACCAACCGCCGGGATTTGCGATCCCCGGCAAGGAGGGTAAGGTGCTCCGCCTGCGCAAGGCCCTCTATGGCTTGCGGCAGGCACCGAGGGCATGGAATGCCAAGTTGGATTCCACGCTAAAGGGGATGGGCTTCGAGCAAAGCCCGCACGAGGCGGCCATCTACCGACGGGACAATGGAGGAAATGCTCTGCTGGTGGGTGTCTACGTCGACGACTTGGTAATCACCGGCACCAAGGATGCGGAGGTGGCGACATTCAAGAAAGAGATGAAGCCACCTTCCAGATGAGTGACCTGGGGCCTCTCTCCTTCTACCTGGGAATCGAGGTGCACCAGGATGACTCCAGGATCACGCTTCGACAGACCGCCTACGCCAAGCGCGTCGTTGAGCTAGCTGGGCTCACCGACTGCAACCCAGCTCTCACTCCGATGGAGGAGAGGCTGAAGCTGAGCCGCGATAGCACGACGGAGGAGGTGGACGCTACGCAGTACCGACATCTTGTGGGGGAGCCTTCGCTACCTCGCCCACACACGGCCGGACTTGGCATTCTCCGTCGGCTACGTTAGTCGGTTCATGCAGCGACCGACAACGGAGCACCAGCAGGCTGTGAAGAGGATCATCCGCTACGTTGCGGGGACTCTCGATCACGGCCTCTACTACCCTAGGTGCCCTGGAGCGGCACACTTCGTCGGGTACAGCGACAGCGACCACGCCGGCGACATCGACACCGGCAAGAGCACGAGCGGGATCCTCTTCTTCCTCGGCAAGTGCCTCGTTAGCTGGCAGTCGGTCAAGCAGCAGGTGGTGGCCCTGTCCAGCTGCGAGGCCGAGTACATAGCAGCCTCCACCGCTTCGACTCAGGCGCTCTGGATCGCTCGACTGCTTGGTGATCTCCTCAGCAGAGACACTAGAGCGGTGGAGCTCAGGGTGGACAGCAAGTCCGCTCTGGCCCTGGCAAAGAACCCCGTTTTCCATGAACGCAGCAAGCACATCCGGGTGAGGTACCACTTCATCCGAGGCTGTTTGGAGGAAGGGAGCATCAAGGCGAGCTACATCAACACCAAGGACCAGCTTGCGGACCTGCTCACCAAGCCCCTTGGGAGGATCAAGTTCCTTGAGCTCTGCTCGAGGACCGAGATGGTTCAACTTCCCCACAAGACGACGCACAAGACTTAGGGGGAGAATGATGGATAAGTCTGGCTGGTCTGGTCTTTGTGGGGCTGCTGGCTGTTGCTGCCACAAGGACAGCATCTTAGCATCTAGGACAGCATATTAGAGGACAATATCTTAGCATCTTAGACTAGCATCTTGGCATATGCTTGGCTGGCTAGCAGCCTATAAATATGTATCCCCAACCCCTCAAGTTGGCATGGCATTGTGTGAGAAATAAACCAGAAAATTGCCCCAACTCCTAGTGTCATCCTCTCTCGATGAGAGTAAGAATTCTGCTACTACCAAGAGTAAGAATTCAGCGACTAACATAGCCTTTGTCAGAACAGTGGCACATGTAGTACCTGAAAGTGTTTGAACATTAAGCGACCTTGAAATGAAACCCATTAAAGATACTGTATTATACTTCACCCTCAGTCATTGGTCTTCACAGAATGTATCTGAATGGAGGAAACCATATAACACGACAAGACTTTTCCATAACAATGCAGTAGCCTAAAATCAAGACTGATGCAAAATGCAAACATAAAATGAATCTGTCAATAACTGAGTCTAACAAATACATCAAAATACAGAGGCAGCAAGCAGAACTTGAACTGAAAGAGCTTTGACATATTAGTGCATATATATTGCTAGTTCAAACATTAGTATAGTATGTTGCAGTGCTGAGAAGACAGGTCAATAGAAGATCCTAAATTCCTAATCAGTGTAAACTTGACAGGCATATGAATAGAACTATGCCATACCATCCCCAGCTGTATCATTGGTAGCATTAGCGGCCTGCTTCACAAGGCTTGCACCAACGTTCTTTACTCTGTCACTGAATTCAACGCTCTTGGCAACGGTCACTCCATCCTTTGTAACTTTAGGTGCACCAAAGCTTTGCTCAATAATAACAGTTCTTCCCTGTAGCATAAATAAATTGGGCTCAATAATGTCAATTCAACAACCCTAACACTGTCCCGTAAAAAAGTTAGTTTTGTGGGCCGGTACTAAGAAAAATACAGTGAAGCCCTACCATGGGAAAGTAAAAGATCCAAATGCAAAGATAAGATCATCCAGGTAAGTTAACTACTTGTGATATCATCATAGCTATTATGCTGACATATTTACATGTAAAGATCATAACTGACAATATGATACAGAACGACATGAACTCGATAAGATCATAGATCTTGGTAATTCACATATGTAAAGTAGTAGTACATGAACAAAATATATACAGCCATCATTAGGCATAGAAAAAGAGTCCAACAAAACTGGGAGTAGTGATTTGTGCATCAATAAGCGGTGATATGATACAGAATGACACAACTCAGACAGACTATACATTTACAAGTCTTAAGTACTTATGCAAAAAGGTATATATACCTTAGGGCCCATTGTCACTTTCACAGCGTCGGCCAATTCTTCAACACCCCTCAGCATCAAGGCCTGGGCTTGGACACCAAACTTGATGTCCTTAGCAGCATAGTTCCTGCTCCAGGCCTAGCTGCTCGCCACCTGCTCAGCATCACACCAACGGAGCACATTAGCACAAGTCAGTCATAAATCAAATCTAAATCAAACGACGAAAACCCCTTGACGCCCAATACAGCAGGTTAATTTTTCCGATCAGTGATCTGCTCAGGACAAGGACGCTCCAAAGCACATGATCGGGGCCAACCAAAAACAACACTAAAAATACCACTACTGCCTGCCACCGAATTCCTCACCAGGCGAGCGCTGCTCCCGGCATGCCTGCACCCAAAAAAAAACCGTACAGTTTAGCGACACGACACGATTGATTACTCCAAACCCCAGTACGGCACGAGAGAAAGCTCGCGCAGCACAAAGCAAGGCACGAATCGGCTATCTCACCTGGCCTTGGAGGCAAGGCTGGCGGCCGCGCGGTACATGGCGACGGACGAGGGTTTTGCTTCAAGTTCAGCCCTTGCTCTGGTTCTGGGTTCGAGGAGGGACGGCGAGGCGGAGAAGGGAGGCCGATTGGCAGAGCTACTTGGGGAGGAGGAAAGAATAGGGGAGGGAGGGAGGAGGAAAGAATGTGGGAGGGGTTTGCTGTGCGGGGGTTTAGTAGGGTTTAATAATGGAGACTTTTCTCTCTGCGCCATTATAAAAGATCGCAATCCCCTGTGTGTCCCTGGAAAAATTCAGCGGTCTTCAACGTCACTACTTTAACTTTTTCGGATCCTCCATGCCACTTCCGTCAGTTCAGGCTCTAACGCCGTTAAAGTGCAGGTGTGAAAAGACGAAAATGCCCTTAAGTTCAAATATGTTATTAATTTTTTTTGAGCATCTTAACGCCTTCAAATGAAAAAACTCAAAACTAGAAAGTTGTAGATCTCGTCGAGATCTATAATTTTCATATAAAAATTATTTTCATTTAATTCCGCAAAAAAAATATGATTTGATATGATTAATATATCTTAGAAAAATTATCATATTTTTTTTGTGGAATTAAATGAAAATAATTTTTATATAAAAATTATAGATCTCAACGAGATCTACAACTTTCTAGTTTTGAGTTTTTTCATTTGAAGTCGTTAAGATGCTCAAAAAAATTTAATAACATATTTGAACTTAAGGGCATTTTCGTCTTTTCACACATGTAGTTTGACGACGTGTTAGAGCCTGAACTGACGGAAGTGGCATGGAGGACCCGAAAAAGTTGAAATAGTGGCGCTAAAGACCGCTGAATTTTTCCAGGGACACAGAGAGGATTAGGATCTTTTATAATGGCGAAAAAAGTCTCTAATAATGCCCGTCGGCCGTCGCAGGTTGGTCTCGTGGGCCGCAAAGCGGTCGAAATGGGCCATGTGGCGTGTCGATCCATTGTCTGAGAAAGATGCCGCCACGCGGAAACAGAAATCATCTTTTCACGTGGGGGCTTATCTGCAAAAAGGGATCTCCGATTCACGCCTCACCACCTGCCGCGCCGGCCGGCGAGCCTCTTCCTCTTCCTCCGGTCGCTCCCCTTCCCCTCGCATCTTGATTTCGATTCTCTGGTGGCTGGGAGAGCCTGCGAGAGGGTGACAACCGGAAAGATCTGGGCCACGGCAACCGATCTCCGGCGCCATGGGGTTCCTCGAGGACTTCCAAGCCAGTGAGTGCTCTTCCTCTCGCTAGGGCACGCACGACACGCCCTCCTTTCTAGGTCACGGGCTTCCTCAGCCACACCGGATTAAAATTTTCTTGTATTTTTAATCGGGGTTTGGTCTAGAAATTCCGGATGCTCGCTGATTGGACATGCACGGCTGATTTTAGGGTTTCATGATTAAATGATATTGAAATGACAATATGCTTGAAGACATGCTAAATGATTGCTAAGACTAGGCTTCGTGCCTAGCTGCATCATAGTTACTATGCAATTTCTCTTGTTGGAATTGCCAGTGGTGTCTATTTTTAGTTGGCAACTTGTACACCCATTAGCTTTCCTTGATGGGAATTGCTGCGAACAAACATTTCATTGTTAAACGTAAACTTGTTAGTTTTGATTAACTATTGCAACCATGTGACCCTTTTACTTGTATTCAATTCTGTTTTATTTGGACATTACTTCCATGTTTCCTTGCACCTATTGATAAATTGCAATGTGGAAAGGTTGGTACGTTGGTAGTAGGTAGTATTATTTTGCAAGCGAACATAAGAATGGCCTTATTGCAAATCTTAGTATTTTGTTTTCTTGATTTGACTTATCCTGTCAGACAGTAACATTACCAATAGGTGCAAATTTATTCATTGATATCATATATACACACATTATTTCATTTGACTACTCTCAGGTGTTGAAGCATTGCCATCTATGCTGCATCGGAACTATTCATTAATGCGAGAATTAGATAAAAGTTTGCAAGGTATGGCAGTTTTGACTTGTGAATCCTATTTTATTCTATTGAATCTCTTCTTCTCTTAAAATATATATGGCAAACTAAACCTGAGAACAATAATGGTTGAGTGTCCCATTGCATTAAGAGGATGTGTCTTGTACTTATTATGCATGCAAATGGATTTCAGTTATTAATTCCCATTTGCTATACTGCTTTCTTTCTGATTACATGTGCAATATTTCCTTTCAACACATAGAGCCACAAATATTCGGTAGGATTGCAGCAATTACATATCATGTTAAATGACTGTTTCTTTTGTTTCATCTCCCAAAATTTGATGAATGTCAGTGTTTATATGGGCTGTCGCAACATATGTCAACCTACAAATTGTGGCAAATGAACTTTTTTATGGGATATCTTAAGAAGTTAATACACATAGCATTGTCCAGACAAACGCACTGAATTGATAGTTATTAATGTTGTGGTTACTTAAATATCTACTGATTTTATTTCTCTGAACAGGAAGTCCAATCTTTGTTTGACTTAAGCTTTTCAGCTTTTCAGCCTGAAAATAACCCCCTTCTGTGCTTCTCATTAGGTGTGCAACTAGAAAATGAGCAGCGCTGTCAGCAAGAAATAGAGGACATTAAGCATGGACTTGAATCTGGAAGTATTACATATGACCCAGCAAAATTGAAATTTTCTGAAGAAGCAATCGAGGAGCAGAAACACTGTGTTAGAATTGCTGACGAGAAAGTGGCTTTAGCCACACAGACTTATGACCTGGTAAGTGTCTGTTAATTATAACTCATTCACGTGCAGTAAAATCCACTGCACCAGGAGCATCTAATTCTTGCTCTATGTTTTGGTGGAGGAATGGGAGAGAACACAGATAAACTTAATTCTCTCCTTGTTTAGTTCTTTGTAGAAGAAATGGAAACTAGTACAGTATCGATATGAATTGTCATTTCAATTATTTCTCTTTTTCATCATTTATGGATTGTTAAATATCAGTTTGTGCTAGTGGTTTCTTTTTATCTCTACCCAAATGGAAAGATTGGCTGCCAAGTTTGTTGTTTATCTATATTTCATTTATGCCATCTTACCTGCAATAGTTCTCGAGGTTCCATGTAACAGTACACTACACACAATTTTGGTTAGATTTTTCAATAACTTTACATTACTAGTTTATGGTTTGCTAGGTTCTGCTGCATAATCATGCCTCATGACACCTCTGCGCTGTTGCTAAATTGTGAATGTGCGGGATTTTGATTATGCTGATCTATAGGTTGATGCTCATATCCAACAGCTAGATCAATTTATGAGGAAACTTGAAGAAATTCGGCAAGGTATGGAACTACCCTTTGCATAAAACATTGGTTGTTTCCAAATAGTGTACTTTCTGTCCTCCTTTTGAGTTACATGCCCACTGATTGCTCTTTTGGAAAGAAATTACTGATTACCTGTATACCATGCGTTGTGATTACCAGAAAAAGAGGCAGCTGCAGCTGTTACTCCAGGGACTGCTGTTGCTACTACTGCCACTCCAACTGTGAATGTCGGAGTGACAACTGCTGATGCTACTCCGAAGAGTGGTCGATCTGGCGAAAGAGGCAGAGGGGGTCGGAAGAAGTATGTTTTGCATCTGGATAAGTTCAGTCCAGCAGTGTTTTTCTTAGTCTAACAAACTATCCCAACTCCTGTTTTAGGTTTAAAGTACCTACGGAGCAGCCAGTGCCACCTATTGATTTAGAATTGCCTGTGGATCCTAACGAACCTACATACTGCCTCTGCAACCAAGTCAGCTATGGTGAGATGGTGGCATGCGACAATCCTAATGTATGTGACATGTCATTTGTTTCACTGCTGTATTCCAGTTTGACGAATTCTATTTTCATGCCCATGCTTGGTTTATTTTATTATCACTTTCATATCCATTTGGCAGTGCAAAATCGAGTGGTATCACTATGGCTGTGTGGGCGTCAAGGAGCAGCCTAAGGGAAAGTGGTATTGCCCAAATTGCATCGGATTCCAGAAGAAGCGAAAAGGCAAGTGATATGCAGTCCACATGCTGCTGTGCTAGTGTCCTTGCTTGTTAAATGTTGTTGATGTTGGGTAACAAATCTAGTAGTTCTTTGTGACAGTGCATACCGTTGTAGATCCAGTGTTTTGTACATGTTACTCCTTTGATGCTGAGGAAGTAAGGAGTGCTCTAGACCTCTTAGAGTTTAGGACCATCGACCATGCAATGCAGACGGTGTGTAACTTCATTGCCTTTTTGGCGGGGGTTTCATTCTGTCCCTTGTATGGCTTTCACAATATCATGTCTCTTTTCTGGTATCTTTGTGGAGTATGCTTTTCTTTGCGGTGGCTCTTTCCGTTGAATTTTCGCGAGCTTTTGTGGAGTTCTTGTCGAAGGTCTACTTCAGCCTAGACATGAGCATGGGCTGGAACAAAGAAACGCCTGGTTTCTTTTGGGCCAAAATCACCTAGCTAGGCCTGGCACTGGGTTGTTCTAAAGGAAATAGTGCATTGACCTTTTATCTACAGTACTCTTTAACTCCACTCAAAAAAAATCTACTCTTTAACTTTTGGAATTTGCTCCTTTGACGGTTTTTACGCGGTGTTTGGGACTGCCCTGCTCCCCTTTTTGCAGCTTCGCTCCAGCTCCGCGTTGCCAAACACCCATAGCTTCAAAAACTCCGCTACACAAAAAAGGTCGAGCTGGAGGTCAACTTCACGGTTTTTTTTATCACCTCAAGAGGTACTCCAGATTTTTGAGTTTTGTACTTCCATATGAAGCTATGGGGTAAGGGAGAATTCCTTATTTGACACTAGACAAATGACCTGTTCCTTTTTTGGTCCTCAAAAAATTTTCGTTCCCTATTTGACATCGAGTTCAACTTTCGTTCCTTATACGACACTCCGTTATATTTTCCATCCGGGAACCGTTAACTGCCATGTGAAAAGACGATTTTGCCCATATGGGGTTGGAGATGACAGTTAGACTCGGTGTCAAATAGGGAACGAAAATTTTTTGAGGGCCAAGAAAGGAACGGATCATTTGTCTGCTGTCAAATAAGGAATTCTCTCATGGGGTAATTACCCACCTTGCCACTCGTTAATCGCCTTATCACTTCCATCTGATCGACTCCCCTCCTCTATACGCATGTGTTGAGGCCGTATGCACCCATCTGGTAGCCCTTTGAATTAATTGTTTATTTGGCTCTATGGTAGCCATTTGGAATATTTATTATACTATCTATATGACATTTCCTATACCTAAATGTATGCGGATTTGGAATGTGTATGCCCAGTTTTTTTCCCAGCGTGTATGCTGATTTGCATTGTGTATGCAAACTGTTTTCTTTCTACATCTATGCAGATATATGAAAGAGAAAGTGATACTGACAGTGAGACCGTTGTTTAATTTTCTATATCATTTGTTTTCTATTTTCTTAGAAAATAGAAAGTACTAATTTAATCAGGGGCATAATAGACCATTTCCATACAAACAATCTATTCCTGGAGCTAGAGCTAGGCTGTGTGTCAAACAGTACCATCTGTTGAGCTGCTCCATGGTGGAGCTAGTGGAACGGAGCTGGAAAAAACAAAAATGGAGCAGTCTCAAACATCCCTTTAGAGTAGGTATAGGCGCCACATCATCCACAAAGAAGGTAAATCGTACTGAGCTAATAGTTGGGGCAGGTCGATTTGACTTCGTCCAAAAAAAATATTGTTTTTTAAGTTATCCAAGTATGTAAAAATCCTAAATCTGATTTAATCTTAGAAATTTTTGTTTTACCTTAGAGAAATCATTTTTTTATATATTATGGTGCATAGTTTGGAATTATTTGAATATTATATGGTCTTCTTTTGGTGTTTATCTATTAGTATATGTTATCGGTATCTATTATAGTTAGGTTGTCTTCAACCGGAGATCTATTATGGAATCTAAATCTAAAATGGGTCTCCAACACAATACATATAGCCTCCAACAGAGTATCTATATGGAAGAGCCATTTTAGATGTCAAGAGAAGTATAGTCCAAATCTGAGTATCCTCTCTCCTGAAGACCTATTTGCAGAAAGAGTTGTCTTGGGTCTTGTTGTTGGAGAAAACCAAAAATATATATTGAACTCTTTGTTTGTAGCGCTATCCAAAGAACGAATGCGTATTGTATTTTGAGTCACGATTGCTAAAGACAGTCTTAATCTATGTTGACGACCTAGACCACGTACAAATTCATCTGACTTAGACTGTCTCCAATGGCGTACCCAAACGCAAAAATGCGTTATGCACAGTATTTTTAGGTACCAAAACACTTCTCCAACGGAGGACCGAGACACGGTACCCATTCTAGGTCGTCGGCGATTCGGCAGGCAAATTTGCGTTTCGAAGAGAGACGACGCAAATGGTGGGCCCGTAGGAGCCGTCGGGGCAGGGCGCGGCCGGCTCGACTCGGCGAGGCGGATCCGCGGCGGAGCACGGCCGGCGGGCTCGAGGGGGCAGCCGCAGGGGCAGCCCTCGCGATGAAGCCGACTCGCCGAAGTTCTGGGCGCCGCCGTCGTGCTGCCCGTCTCCCTCCGCGCTCCCCCCTCCTTCTCCTCCTCTGCTCTCTCTTCTTCCCTCCCTCTTCTCTGCTCGCCGCGGTCGAGCACCACCAAGCCTGCTGCTGCCGCCCGTCCGCCATCGCGCCGCTGCTCTGCTCGCCTCCTTACTCGCCCAGCGCCTCCGCTCTCGCCTTGCCTTGCTCTGCGCCGCCGCGGCAAGCGCTGCCACAGCCCGCCTGCCCCGGCCGGCTCGCGCCGGAGCTCCAACCAGCCGCGCCCGTCGCCGTCCGCCGCGCCCTTGCCTTGCTCCGCTTGCCCTGCAGCCGCCCTGCGCCACGCCGCTGCTAGCAACGCCGCCGTCGGCTCTGCTCCTCCTTCTCTCCTCCCTTCTCTCTTTTTTCCCTCTCTCGTCCGCTCTCTCTCTCTCGCTTTTGCACGGATTGGGATTTGGGGCTTCATCTGTTGGAGAGGTCGAGGAATGGGTAAGTAGCTTTTTTCACTGCGCGTTACCTAAACTGTGAAATAGGTATCAGATTTAGGTCACGTTGTTGGAGTCAGTCTTAGTGACAACACGTGTGTCATGGAACCGTGAGTACTATTTAATGTGAACACTTGTCACTTGTCATTCTTACAATATGAGCGCATGTATACACACTCATCCCCTGTGAGTATAAATCATGAGATTAACAAGGTCACTATAAATATCTCAACGCTGATAGATCGCGATAGATCGCGATATTTTGTTAACTTATTTTCACATCATTTTTTTGTTGCATTGTATCAATTTTGTGTTGGCAATTCAAATGTCACCGAACATTAGCTAAAATAATATTCAAAATCATTTGTGGAGATGGAGCAAATTCGGGCTGTCTTAAAGATTAGACTAACGCGGCATCCCATCAGCTCGAACTATTTTTAAAATCGTTGGTGAGCAAATCCGGAGGGCTTAAAAGTCAGAGGATGTTATGAAACTGATTTTCTAATTGAAGGAGACAAATAACGATCGCTGCCATGAGAAAACGTATAACAAAAGGGGAAAAAAGAAGATGCAAAGAAGAAGTGCAGGTAAAATAGAGTAGCTCGTGCGTTCTTTTTTTCCTCGGGAGGGGTGGGCCCAAAAAGTGAGCTCTCGGAGCTGGGGCACTCTGCAAAAAGGTTGTTCTGGCCTCTGGCGTCCGGGTCTGCGGCGCAGCGATGCTGTGTCGCTGGCTCGCTGCAAGCCTGCAACGACGGAACGGAGGCATGGAACAAGAAAAGGAGGCCCAGCCCGGCAGCCCCAGCGCCCCAGCGGTAGGAGTCGTCGACACAGCCACACAGGCGAAAAGGCACCGTGTAGTACGTGCAGTGCAGCGACCGCCGACCGGGCATGCCAACACACATTTCACTGCACATGCAGCGAGCGCCGAGCAGCAGCAGCAGCCGCGAATTTGAACGCATCGGTTCCTGCGCTCACCACACCACCTCGCGTACTACAGCAATGCGGCCACAGTAGCGCCGCAGCAAAACTGTGCTGTGCATGCGCGATGCCATATTTGGCCATGTAGCCCGAGCCCGTCGGCCTGGCCCGTAGCCCTTTTTTTTGCTGGCCCAAGCACGGCCCGGCATGGAGGCTAACGGGCCCGGGCTGGCCCGGCTCGGAGGACCAGGCCGTGCCTGGGCCTTACCCCAGGCACGTGGGCCGGCACGGCACGACCTGCTACAGAGCAGCCGCCCCGGCCTGTCGCCTCCCGGCCTCCCCGCGCCCCCCTCCCCACGGCCCAGCGCAGCCCACGCGCTCCCCGCTGTCCCCGGCCCGCCTCCCCCCCTCATATAAAAGCGGGCACGCCTGCCCCGCGGCGACTCTCCCTCACCCCGAACCCTAGAGCCGGGGCGTGGAGTCACGGACGGACGCCCCCTCCCCTTCCCTCACGCCCACGGCGGCTCTCCCACTCCCTCACCCCGAACCCTAGAGCCGGCGCCGCGGACGCCCGCCCCCTCCCCTTCCCTCACGCTCGCAGCGGCTCTCCCTCTCCCTTACCCCAGCCGGGGCCACGGACGGACGCCCCCTTCCCTTCCCTCACGCCCGCGGCGGCTCTCCCTCTCCCTCACCCCGAACCCTAAAGACGGCCCCGAGCTCCGCCCCGACGCAGATCCGGTGCCAAGACAAGCTCACCGGTGGCACGGCGGCCACTGCCATCTCCGGCCTCGTGCTGCCTCCTTCCTCGATCCTACCACCCCTAGATCTGGCCACGCTGGGTCTTCTCCACCACGGATCCGGCTCCCCACCCTTGCCTCGACAACAACGCGCCTCCTCCCCATCCCCCCTCCTCCTCCTTCCCTCGCTCCTCCCTCGGCGCTGGCGGCAAAGCCAGGCACCCACCTCCTCGCCTCCCCACGCCACACCACAACAAGACCTCGGCCTCGAGCACGCCGGCAGCCGCCATGCCCCCTAAGGCCCCCGCGCGGTGGCTGGCCTCGAGCCCCCGCGCGCTCCTCCACGACCCCTGCGTCCCGGCGACGGCGA